TGTCCCCATTACTATACTGGGGCATTAGGACCCACATGGACCGCAGGGTGAGCGCCCCCTGCTGGCCCCACTAACACCTCTTCCAGAAGCAACCTTAGTTTTTCCCAGGAGGTCTCCCATCCAGGTACTGACCAGGCTCACACCTGCTTAGCTTCAGTGGGTTGCCAGTTTTGAGTTGCAGGGTGATATGGCTGTTGGCTACATGTAGTTGTTTCTTAAATAAAGCTTAAATATTGGCTTCAATAACAGGACCGGGTAGCTTGTTCAATATTCCCACAACCTTAGTGTAAATAACCATCTTGTCTCCTGTTCTGTTTTAAATACCTCTCTGTTCAAGACTAAATACAGTACGTAATCCTGTTAGTGCATGACATTTTCTTAGCCCCCAAATTTATCAAGTTACCTTTCTCTCAAATATTCTATAACATACAGTAGTAACCAAAATTGTACAAACTATTCTAAATGAGCTCTTACTAGTGTGTACACATTTAACAAAGAACAGCAGAGCAGGATGAATGTAGGAAGAATGATTGTTTCTGTTATGAGTGTGAGCAATTTGCATTGTTCCATTAATGTGATCAGTTGTTTCCTCTTGAAGTCAGTAAAGGGCTGAACTAGAAAAGCTAGATACCATATACTTATCTATCTGAATTCCAGTTGTGAATAAAATCCTTGAATATTACACTCCTTGTCTTGGCTTTCCATACATTTATAACAGCTCGGCCCATCTATATATACCTAAAGTGATTCTAAATCACGCTAAAACACAATGAAGCTTTACAATATAAGCAAATTTCAATCTGTTGCCTTACAGCAGAGATGGAGCAATTTTAACTTGACTAATTTATTAATTGCAGCGTAAAGAAAAATATTTGTTTCTACCAAAATAGATTTTATATGGCTTTATTATTGTATCTTTAACTTATTTTTAAATGCCTACTACATCTGTATAAAAAACAATTTCCTAAAAAGAAGAGTTTTATCTCTGTTTTTAACCATATTACTGCAGTACAGCAGACAGCCTTTAACATTTGTAAAGTATTTCCAGTTAGACAGTACAGCAATAGACCCTGCTTTATTTTACAAACCTGTAGATGAATTATTAATTTTAAGTCTTAAATTATTTTTCTCCTGTCCAGTAAATACAAATTTGTTTAAACATTCCTAATTCGTCCTGTGTGGTATTGTTTCCTTGAAAATATGAATACATTTTTAAAGTGACTTCACACCTACCAGTCCTGGCTTTCAATCCACACAGCCAGAAACTGGCGAATTTCCATTGGAAAGTTGTCATCATAAAAGTAGTCCACTTGCTCCAAAAACTTTATCTCTAATTGCTGAATTTGTTTCCATTGACTCATCCTGCGGAAAAAATGAAAACAGGCGTGATTAGACCACATGCATACAGTGTATGTATATAGAGAGATACTTACCGTGCCTTGCACAATATTCACTTTCAGTGATGCCCCATTTTGATTACAAATGATGTACACATATTAAAGTGAATATTTTTGGTTGAAACAAGTTAAATGTCAGCAAAAAAACACAGAGAATCAAAATTAAAACAAGTTTATTGCAGAACTAATCACTGACCATTACTATGGTAAAAATAAATATAGAATTATTCAGGGATAACATTTTAGAAAGACATAGATCAGTAGAAGAGAATAAACAATTTAAAGACACAAATATTCCTTTGAGCAAAGTGAAGCACTCAAATAAGGTTTAAGAGGAGTTATGCTGTGTAAAACCCATGGCACAACAGCAGGGAACGTTATAGCCATGCTACAGTCAGCTGTTAAGCATTTTGAGTAAAGAGGAATTGACATTAGAAGAATATTTCCTTTGACAACTGGCACTGCCCCTGCTTTAGTCAGAAAAAGAATGGATTTAAAGGATTTGTAAAGATCAGTGAGGAACAAACGGGCCATGTGATTGTAAATTGCCATGGTATTATTCATCAAGAAAAGATTAATCATAAATTAGAAGCCAAGATTTCTAATTCTGAACTATATTGGTGAAGACAATCAATTATGCTGTTGCTCAATCTGCCTTGAAGTATCATGATCTGCCTAAAGTGTATATAAGCAATGTTCATTTGCTAAGCCTCGGGAAGATTTTGGCACACTTTGTGGACTGTCTTGATCAAACTGATATCCTTTTAGTAGAAAAAAGGGGCAAACTACAACTAAATGGATGATGATGATGGGTGGCGGAAATAATTATTCTGACATCACCAAACATCTTAACAAACTCAACCTTTGTTTGCAAACTGCTAAAGATTTTTTTAAAGCATTTCTTGTTAAATATACATTTTGTTTACACCTAACGACAACTCTTCTATTATAACTTTAGTAAATTGCATTAATGAAGTAAAGACTTGGATGTGTGAAAACTTTGTTATTCAACTCTGATAAAACTGAGGTTCTGTTGTTTGGAGGCAACAATACTGATAGGACTACTATAACTTTAGCACTTAACTCAGAGGATTTGCCTCAAAGACTCAGCACATAACCTAGGCGTCATATTAGACACAAGGCTCTCATTTAACTTTCATGTTAAAACAGAATCAAAAACATGTTTCCTACAGTTAAGAAATATTGCAAAACTAAGGCAGTTTCTCTCCACTCAAGACACAGAGAAATTAATACATGCTCTTGTATACAGCAGGTTAGAGTACTGCAATGCCCTATTATCAGGCAGCACCTGATCTTTCAACACCTTACAGCGAATTCAGAATGCAGCAGCTAGAATTGTCACTAGGAGCGCAAGGTACGACCTTGCACTGTTTTCCGCTGGACTTTTCCACACCCCATGAATCCTTATTGTGTGTTAATTGATTGGCTCACAGATAAACAATGAGATGTATACTGTATGTTGTATTAATTATATTGGAAACTAGAGCACCCTGAGTAGAAATAGAAAAGCAGCAGAAATGCAAGAAATAATTTCTTGTATTCCATACTTTCAGCTGGAAGAAAAAGATCTGGTGTTTGGCTTCATATATGAAGTGTAAACCAGGAAAAGCTCTCGCAAAACAAATTGTGACGATAAACAGAATATGGCTACATCATATAATAGCTCAAGTAGGTAGCTGTGTCAGCATGTGTTGGCTGCAAAAGAAGTGACACCTGAAGAAGGCTCCACAGCCAAAACGTTGTGCTTCTTTTCTTCTCTTTTCAGCACGGAATAAACCTTTACATTATATAATTACAACAAATTTGAAGAGCCATCTGAATGTACTGTATAGTACTGAGACACCTCTGCACTGATGAAGACATACGTTTTTTTTACACTACAACTAATCAACAAATTAAACTGAAATCTAGCAAGAATAATGTGTATTTTACAATTTGTATATCAGGATATTATTAATGTTGTTGTTTAGGAAGTTATTAATACATAAGAATTAAGTTACTATTTTAAAGAGGGAACACAGGCACATCAGGCTGCCGCTCCAATCACTGTTTTCAGTTTTCAGTGTTTCACTGTTTCACTGTTTTCAGTTTTTCTTGTTTTTAATTTTACTTTTATTTTTTCTCCATCTCCCTTGTTTTTTACTTCCATAAAGACAATTTTCATACACTTGTAGCCATTTCACTTTGCAATTTTCACTACAACTGGATTTCCACTGTGACCAATTCTACTGCTGGCTACCTGATGCTGTGTTGTTGGACTGTGGACTCTTAAACCACCTACTACTGCTCTGTTCCAGGATTTTTCGCCCAGTTTTGTTGCATCATCCCATATTCCACCAAAATACTCCTAAGGTACTCCATGCTACAACTACTGTAACTGAAACTGATTTTTTTCCAGGTAAAATCAACATGAGAGCATTTCTCAGATATCAGAATAGATAGATAGATACTTTATTGATCCCGTGAGGGTGAGGGAAATTGCAGTGCAACAGCAGCTTAAAGACAACACAGCCACGGTGTAACAAATGATACAATAATAATAACAATACAATACAATCAGTACAGTGAGAAGTGCACTAAGAAGAGTTACTCACAGTCCAGAACACACAAAGAACAAACCAGAACAGGGGTGAGTTTCCCGAAAACGATTAATCTTAGAGACTAACGAGCAACTTTACGACGTACGTACATAACGTACGAGGTACTTTTTCGTGCGTTTCCCAAAACCCCTCTAAATCAGTCATTTAACGAGCGAGTATAAAGTACTTCTTTGTTGACCCCTCCCCTGAAGTCCCTTAGCAAAAAGCATCACAAGTCGATTGAAAAGCAATCGATTGACAATACTTTCATTATACAGTTTTGGTCCTTCAGTGGGATGAAATAAAGTTGTGAAAAGGAATATGAAGTAAACTTCATAATTTAACAACCATTTAAGTGAAAGCGTATATTTAGGCACAAAATGGGACCCTTATTGTTCCTAAGAGAAAATAAAATAAATTACTGACATGCCATAAAAGAAAACCAAGATTAACTGCATGGACAGTGTATGCGTCCTGCACGATGTCTTTGATTTAAAGCAATATTTTTTGGCGCACTGCCATTGTTAAGAATAAGAGTGTTTCAGGAGAATAAACTGTTGTTATTTATAGTTATTGGGTGTATTGGAACTCAATGGAAAAGTTAACTACTAAGCTTGGCATGTGTCACTCAACAAATACAGGACCTATAATCAAATTTAAAAATAAGTAGGTCTAAGCTTTACCATCAACAATCATGACAGAACATAAAACGGTATTCGAACTTTAAATATTGTATCGACCGCGGGTTTCGGTACGGAATGGAGCATGCGTGGGACTCAGGGAATGAGGTTGAACAACACATTTATTAACTTGAATCGGGAAATGGCGCTTGCCAACACCGACTGATAGAACATATGTAGCATCTTACTACACACACTGAAGGACCTGTGCCTCCTCAAGAAGTAAAGTCGGCTCTGACCCTTCTTGTCAGAATGACCTCGATGTTCTTAGACCATTCCAGTCTATCGTTGATGTGCACTCCCAGGTACTTGTACGAGTCCACCATCTCCACTTCACTCCAATGCATGTAGACAGGAGTAGGTTTGAGCTTTTTCCTCCTGAAATCTACCACCAGTTCCTTCGTCTTTGTTACATTCAATTGCAGGTGGTTCTCCCCACACCACTCCACAAAGCTGCTGACCAGTCCTCTGTCCTCTTCCTCTTGCCCACCCTTGATACATCCCACAATTGCAGAGTCATCCGAGAACTTCTGCAGGTGGTATGACTTTGAGTTGTATTTAAAGTCTGAGGTATAGAGGGTGAAGAGGAACGGAGAAAGAACCGTCCCCTGAGGAGCCCGTGTTACTTACTACGTGTTCAGACACTCAGAGCTGAAGTCTCACAGACTGTGGTCTGCCTGTCAGGTAGTCAGTGATCCACGAGATGCTGCGAATGCAGCATCCAATGCTGCGTCCAATGTGATATACTGTATACTGCAACTCATTTGATGGCGTTTTCTTCCTTCATCCCATTGCAGGTTACTATCCCTGCTTTTCTATATGATGCAGCCAGACTTTTACACACCAGCGCTGACCTGAAAAATCACCTTGTTCATCAGCGCCTGGAACTCACTCCGTTTTCCCTTGGCTCGCTGATCCAGATCAGCATTACTCAACACCCAATAATCACAGAAAAAAAACTTGAATTTCTGTGCTTGACTGAAACCTGGCAGAGACATAATGACAGTCTCTCATTTACAAAATACTCCCTCCTGGTTACGGTGTGTTCGAACAATCTCACCTTTCTTGCTATGGTGGAGGCATAACTGTTATTTACAATCTCCTTTTCTTTTTAAGTCCTGCTACTGTACCTCCACTCTCGTCTTTTGAATGTCTGTTTTAAATGTCTCTTTTCCCCATGGTTTTTCCTGGCCCAAGCCTCATGATGCCTTTTAAAGTGAGTTTGCCAATTTACTTATTTCTTTTATGTTTCAGATTTAAGAGAATCCTTATTCTTGGTGACTTTAATATCCATATGAGAATCAGTTGATTCACAGTCTTCCAATTTGGCTAAGGTTTTTTGAGTTTTGTTGGAATGCTTTGATCTAACTCAGTTTGTCCTTAGCACAAATCATAACAAAGGACACACTCTGGATTTAATAATGACAAATAACTCTTTTGTTCTCACTTCTCTGCTCCTTTTCTGTATCACAGTCTTCCCCTCATACTCTGTAAGTTTTCGCAACAATCAGTTGACTAGACTAGGTTTGAATTCTTTACTTATCCTGCTTCTTTAATTCTTTAATTCTGTAGTGGACAAAGTTTAATAGCCCTCCGTCTACCCTTCACACCTTAGTACCTAATAAAACTTGAACCATCTTCTTTTCTCGCCCTGCACCATGGTACACTGACCGGATTCATTCAAT